TGCAAAACATCCTCTTGCTGCTGCCCGCCCCACTTGTCTAGACTCCCCTCTGTCCCTCCACACAATCTAGCCAATTTTGATGTGAGAGCCTTTTCTTAGAAACATTCTGTAGCCTTCGTGTGTTTCTCTGCCTCCCTGACCCTTCATCTCATTTCAAATCTCAAATAAAAACAACTCTTATCTCCTCCCTTGCCTAAACCTTTTAACAGCTGCTGTTATTTAACTCTTCACTGTATAATTCCCAGACAAAATCTTTATTAAGATAGAATCAGAAGTTAGAATGTGGAAAAGACTTAGTCTACCTAGACCTGGTCTACCTCCATGCCAATGTAGGGTTATTCCCTATTGTACATTTACTAGTATTTTGACAAGCCTAGCTTTAAATATCCCAACCAAATTAGCTTCTTCTGCTTCTCTTGGGAGAATATTTCACAGCCTAATAGATCTTAGTGTCAGGAAATTTTGCCTGATATTCATCCTAAATTTTCTTTCTTAATTTCATCTCAAGACTTAAGGATATCCCTGTATATATTGTAGGCACTGGCCCTATTATTGGATTCACGTGGATCGATCCTTGCTCTTGTGTGGCACCCCACTGGCATCAAGGATCTCACTGTAGTATCAGGGCCTTAAATAGTTCCTCTCTCTCCACTTGGTGTTAACCCCCTTCAAATGTTTGTCAGCTTATGTTCATCCATTCTCTGCTCATCATCTAGCCAAGCAATACAAACTAGCCAAGATTTTCAGAAGTGAGCAGTGATTTTGGATCCCAGATGGATGTTAAGAAGGCTGAGCACTTACTGAAAATCATGTATCCTTAAGGTATCTGAAGCTGGGCACCAAAAAATTGAGGCATCTAAAATCACTAGTTGCTTTTGAAAATCTTATCCACTCTGTATTTAACTCTTCATCTTTCCTTGTGAATCAATCCCTCAGTCCCCTGCTCATTTTTGTTGTTCTTCTCTACACTCCCTTCAGTTTCATAGTATCTTTCTGATAATACAATGCCCAGAATTGAATTCAGTAAAGAAAGCACTCCCCTAGTTTGCACCTTGTGTGTAAGATGCTGAGAGGTCCAGCTGAGTTTTCTGTGCATGTTCGGGAGACCTTACACTGAAAGAGACACTAGCAACTTAAAAAACTTGTATTGTAAACACATTTCTTTATCTGTTACTGAGGACATACTGAAACTGAAACATTTTTTTTAAATCCTAATTATTTATGCCACTTATTTCCTTTTTGTATTTCTCTCAACATGGACAATGAAAATAAAGTCCATTTCACTCTTGTTCTTAAAGCTACAATTATTGCAAAAGCATGTTTACATGTTATAAAACTACTGTTTTCATGGGAATGCTTTAAAAAAATATTGGCCTTTCCTTGGGTAAAAGTTTATTTTTACAAAACCTTTAAATTTTGGATCAGATTTGCATTGACATTGTCCCTTTTAAACAAATGGAAGTTTTCTAATCCACTCATCTTTCCTCGCTCCTGTCAGCTCATGTTTTCTTGAAAAAAGAGAGCCATCACAGGCACCCCATCCCTCGGAGGAGGACCTAGTATCCCAGCAAGAGTGGGAGTGGGAAATAACTCACACAGCAGAGCTCTTATTCAGGACAGAGGGGGAAAAAAGCCCCCTTTCTGAAAATTCATCTAAGTGGCAGACATTGTGGGGAGGAGGAGAAAGGAGCCTTTATTCTCACTAGACTTCAGCTGGCCAGTTTTGGAAATTTTGGCTTAAGGGTTTTTGTTTTTGTAGAAAGCTTGTTTTGTATAATATTTTGACTCTCTGGTTTAATTGTTGTTCAGCTACTTTTAGCAAAAATCAAACAAAGGCCCTCCTTAAAATCCCCACTTTGGGTGGGGATTAATGCCCCCCTTCCCAGGCTGTACTCCCTTGACACTCTAGACATCATACTCATTTATTTCTAAATAGTTAACAATGACTGCGAGCCCATACAATATTACACTAAAAAACTGCTTTAAAAGTTAAGGTTGCAAAGTCAAATACTCAAAAGCTAGGAAGTGCGAGAATTAAGTTGTCTGTGCAACAGCATCAGCAGTAGTTATCATTCTATATGTGGACCAGCGAGACAACAAGGGAATGAACGAGACAACAAGGGAATGAAACACATTTTTACAGTGGCTTTCACAGCTATTTGCTAGACAGCAAAGAAAAACAGAGATTTAGGAGTTTCAGGTTCTGGTGGGGAGTGAGTCTGGTGGGCACAGACCCTTCTGTCCGATCTTCAGGCATCCCTCATTCCAATCTCCCAACCCCATAAGCACCTATCTTCCCCACCCCAGTTCCTGCCCTTGCCCCTCTCCCATCCCTGCCCACCTTCCGCTCCTCTCTGCTCCTGCTCCAAGTTCTTGATTTTGTGCCCCATCACGTTGACTGGAGTGGCTCACGAACATGGGTGCCAACCTAAGGGCAGACTGTTACAAACCAGGGCACAAACTCCAAACTGGTTGTGTGTTCTATAATTAGATTTCACCAACCAAGTATCAAGTGTGAACTTCTCAAGCACTAAAACAATCTTAACATGAAGTCACAGTCAGAGCCTTGGGCACTCTGGTCTATCCTGCCACCCACGCAACCCTGCCTTTGTGATAGATGGTCCCTAACACCAAAAATCACAACAATAATCAGGTTACTCCCAGTCCCAATGGACCAGTCACTTATCCCATTCAGTTGTACTTTACATCTCAAACCAAAGACAACACTTGTAGCTAATCCTGTAATAAACTAACTGAAGATTAACTAAGAAAAAGAAACACGTGAGTTATTTACAACATCCAAGCAGGTAAACCTACACACACACACACGTTACAGACTTAGGTTTCAAAAGGTAATAGACGCTCCTGTAATATGCAAGCTCTGTATGTAAGTTAGGACTAAGCAATTCAGGGATCCCTTGCTTATGCTTACAAATATTGCCCTCTCCAATTCCAAGCTGCATAGTGATAACAATTCCTCCTTGACAGGGTTTTTTATGCCCTTCCTGCAGCATTCAAGCTGTGGTGGAACAAGGGCCTGTGCACATACTCTCTTCATGGGTGGAGGAAGCAATCTATAAAGTCTTTTGTCCACTGATGTTCCACAATGGTTTGTCTGGTGTCTATAGGCCTTCTTTGGTTGGAGAGGAGATGATACCGCTTGTGGTAAACTAGTATTTCACACTTGGCATTGCTTCTCTCCTGACTGTGAGGTTTTAGTTTTAGCAAATACTTTTAAAGTTACAGAGCACACTTCAATATGACCTTGTAAGATGGGATACAGATATTATAAGTAAGATTAACACATGTAGCATCCTACAGTCACTTCATGAAGTCTAAACACGAAATGCATTCTTGTAACTCTAATATCTGTTTTAACAATACTAACACATGGGTGACCAGACTGGTTTCCAGTTATGCATTTGTCAGTGTTCAGTGAGGCCCAGGGGCCTTGGCATGAGCTGGCTGGCACCTGGTCCGCAAGCAGCACACTCCATACTCTGGATCTCCACCCTGAAACCCCCATACCTCACCCCTCTTCCCAGGCTTCCAGATTGCGTTCTTCTTTTCTTGCATGCTGTCAAGTGGCCCCCAGCTGCCAAAATGAGCTGTGGCCTGGAGCATGCTCAATTGCTCTGTGCATGTGTAATCTGGTTGGCATGTAGTATCTGTGCAAGAATGGAGCATGCTCAGTGCTAACAGAATGTTCAGATAGTTTTGCTGCCAAACTCCGACAAGTCAGTATGGAGCACATGTGGCCTGAAATTGTTCTGGGGCTTTAACTTGAAGTTTGGGCAGATTTTCAAAGGAACAGCAAAAGGCATGTTCCTGTCATGAGGACAATGCCCTGCCAAATTTCAAGTCCCTGTTTCAAAGCTTGGAGATGCTAGAGCTTCTCACCGAATCAGTTGAAATAGTTACTTTAAAATTGGGAAAACAACATATTTTTCTCTAATCTTGCCCTCAGCAAGGAAATTTCCAACCTGAACAGTTAAAGTTTGGCAAACTTATAAGCAAATGAAAATAGAGGTCTTATAACGAACTGTGTTACACAACCTTAACTACGTGTGCAGTAAAATAGACCCATATGGATTCTAGTTTCTGATACTGTAGGAAAACAAAGCGGAGCTGGGGAGACGTTGCTGTCCTACAACCCTGAAAACAACGTGGAGAAGACAGCAGCCAGCCACCCTCAAGGAAACAGGCCATCCCTCAAAGAGGATGGGACAAGAGGAGGCATGAAAAATAAATATCAGACTGCCCTCTCCTATTAAAAAATGGCAAATGGGACACTGGGTAACAGAGAGGTATGGTAGTGTGATTTCTCCGATCTCACTGGCAGAATGTGGCCGCTCAGCTGGGAGCTTAGACCTCCGTGGTAGGGATAGCCTGGTCCTTCTGCCCAGCTACACTCCTGTCCTCAAGTTACAGGCTCCCTCACCCAACTCTTGGGTCCTCTCCCTCCCTTCCGCCCCAACTTAGAATGATGAGGTTCCCAGCTCAGGGGGTTCCTTTTCCTTCCACTTCTGCTAAAGGGACGGTATCCCTGGACAGGGTTTACTGTGGGAGCATAGGTTGGGGGGGCATCTCCTTCGCTCCCCCACGAGCCCCCCAAGGATGGGGTTCGGTGGCAGACCTTGGCTACTTCCCCCACTCAGGAGGACGGGGTTCCTGGGAATCCTCCTCCTCTACGGGCTGGGGCTCCGGGCAAGGATCCTCTCTCCCTGCCCTCCCTCAGCCGGGTGTCTGCTTCTCCTCTCCCCCCAGGTGGCAAGGGAGTGCCTGGGGGAGGAAGGGAGGGCGCCCCCCGCACCTTCCCTCCCTGCCTGTGGGGCAGGCAGCGCAGCTCCAGGCCTGGAGGTTGGCTTAGTAACCAGACAGCCGAGACCTGCCAGGGCCCCAGCACGGGGCGGGCTGGGAGAGGGAGGAGGGGGTGAGCCCAGCCAGTCTCAGCGGCTGCTGCGCTGCGAGCGGGGCGTGTGCGGAGGCCGGAGGGAGGGACCGAGAGGCCGGCGGGGGAGGCCGCCTCTCCGCCGCTCGTTACAATGTTTGCAGCGCCGGAGCCCCACTAGGCTCGCCTCGCAGGCGCACCAGCCCGGGCGGGGGCAGGCGGGGGTGTCCCGCGGCAGCGGGGCTTGTCCGCAGGGTCTCGGCTGCTGCCACAGGGCAGAGCCGGGGAGCTGCAGCGAGGCGAGCGGGCGGCGCTCTCTGCCGCCTCCTTGCCGGGCAGGAGCGGGGGTGCCTGGGCTGGAGGAGATGCTGCTGCTGCTCCCCTTTGCCTCCCTCCCCGGGCTCTTCTGCAGACTCCAGCCAGCGCCGCTGCGCGGGGAGGGTGAAGGCTCAGGGTCCTCGTCTCCATCACCCCCCTGCACGCTGGGCTTGGGGCTCTAGACCGGCGGGTAAGTCTGCGTGGGCTTGGGGTTTGTTGGGGGTTTGTTTTTTCCCTCCCCCTTTGTTATGAGAGAGGAACTCCAGGTGCGAAGTTTGGATCTGGGTCTTGAACTTTCCCAGACTTCGGGAGGGTGTTTGCTTATGGGTTTTCCTCTGGCCCCCCTCTCTAATTATTATAATGACTCTTAATTATGCGTGTATGGTGCCTTGAAGATGTGTAGACCAGTGCCATGTAGCAGGACTTTGCTTTTTCTGTCTCCAGTTCTGGTTTTAGGGGGAAGTGTCGGGCTAGGTGGTTAGGGTTGCCGCTCTTGGGAGGCGGGGCGGGGGACAGGCAGCCCCCTGGAGAAACCGAGCAAACTGGATGGGTGCAAGTCGGTGGTTTGTGGAGTAGTGAGACTTCCAAGCTTGCCTCCTGAGGAAGATCCAGGGTTGGGCTGTGTGGGAGGGTGATAGAGAATATTTACAAGCTATTCTGCTGTAAGGAACATTTTTCTTTAGTTTCACCAGGATTTTCAGGGTGTGTGTGCGCGCGCGCGCGCCTGTTTGTTTTGCATGAGGCTCCTTTTGGTGTTAGTCATTCTGGCTGCACATTCTTAAGTTTGTGAATGAAAACTCCAGCAAAGAAAGAACTTATTGTGCATAGGAAAACTCAGTGCATATTAGTCACTCCAGTTGTCTGTGTTCAAGACTACATAGCAGGCCCCTGTCTGTTTCCAATTTCTGAAATGATTGTGGAAATTCTATGTCGCATGAGAAGAATGCTGGGAGGAGGGAGCCTAGCACCACATGAAGCAAGTGGTTTTATTATTATTGCTGTTTTTCCATTACTTCCTGTCCAAAGACCTCTGGGTTAAACTAGACTTCAGGGTTCTCAAAACAGTAAGTGTACATAGCTGGAGCAGAGGAATTGCTGTGTATTTGCAGTAAGAGCTGAACAACTGAAGGGTTTCTTTTAAGGCACTAAAAGTTAAAAACTTCTTATTTAAGAGAAGATTCTTGCTTAAACTCTATCCACATTTTTGACGGGTGAGGGATAGAAATCAAGAGTAAATCTAATGGCCTGTGATGAGAAATAGTGTAGGTTTCATTGGCTTTTTATCTCTGTATGATCAACACCTCAGCAAACCACAGGATAATCTCTCTCATATTGTAGACTGTGTCGTTCTCTTTAAAAATGGCATGTTTCAAACAACAAAGGCAGTGACTTCATAGGGAGCCATCAGGTGCTTCTCTGTACCCCACCTGTGTATTGGGGAACCGGTTTTTTGTAGGCAGGCTCTAAATTAAATGTAGGGCATGAAGACTGGGGATATAAAGATGACTGCAGATTATCTATGTCTAGGCACCTTCTTAGGGTGTACATTCTGAAAAGTAAATATAAAAGTCCTTCATTATAGAACTAGCCAGGATGGTAACAATGATGAGTTCCCAAATCCCTGAAATGGCATGTATTGTGATTGTACAGTATAACTGGGTCAATGCCATACAATTATGCCAAACTTTCTGCTGGTGTTGGAATGTTCTGAGGAAAATCTTTCATTGAATACATGAGTACTTGAAAGGTAAAGATTTCAGTTAATATAATATCTGATCCTACAAGGTGGGGCTAAGCACCCCCAATTTCATGCTCAGCACCATGTCAGGATCAGGCCCGTCATATTATTCCCTCTCTGTACAAACCTTTGGGTTGGAAAACAATGGATATGTTTAAAGAGGCTTCTGTAAGAAGCTGAAGCTGGAAGCTAGAAATAAACACCAAATCTTAGATAAGAGAACAGTTTAAACAGTAATATTCTTTTGTAACAGTGGTTCGACATTTTTTCATTTGCAGATGCCTAAAAAATTTGAAATGGAGGTGTGGACCCCTTTGGAAATCTTAGACATAGTCAGCAGACCCCAGGTTGAAAACCACTGTTATATAAGAACAACTGATGGGAGACAAACTAATGCTGTTTTTACAGTGATTTGTTTGGTAGTTCAGTTGCAATACAGTGTGTTGTCACTGAATTGCTAGCAAGTCTACCCATCTATTTATCTTTCATGTAAGGCTTTTGTATTTTATCCTGCCTGCTTCTTTTCTCTGCCACATGTGCAGTCTTTCTGCAAATGCTGTTTACAAATAAGAATGTCTTAAAATAAGACAAGAGTGACAGTAAGAGACAAATGATCTTAAAAGTAGGTTTGGGGGGTTTGGTTTGCTGTTTTGAAGATGCACAATTCTGTTTACACTGATAAAAAAAGTATAATCGTTTTTCAAACAGTGTTGTCTCATTTTTTTGTTTATGTGATAAACAAGCATTCCTAGTACAAATGGGTATATTAATGTTTGGTTTTTTTAATAACGCCCAAATGGATGCTAACAACATTGTAAACATAAACAAGACAGGTATCTTCCCCAGCTAGTTTGCAGTGTAAGGCCCTGATGCTGCAAAGGCTTAAGCATGTGCTTACCTTTACACACTTGGAGTACTCCATTGACTTCAGCAAGATTATTCTCAATATATAAACTTAAGCATGTGTACATGTCTAAGTGATGTGGAACCAATGAAGTGGGCTTATAAAAATGGAGTGTGGAATGGTCAGAACCTGAGGGCAACATTAATTTAGCATTGTCGAATTTCCATGCCCTGGAAGAAACAGTGAGGTGGGTGACAGGAAAGCCAGGGAAAGGAAGAGGGTCTCTCAGCCAAGGTGAGAGGTTATGAAGACATGATTTTGGCAGTCGTGATGGAAAGGAAGAGATCGATTTTGGAGATGTGCTTTTTTCCTTCACAACAGGACTTCGCAACCATCTGAAGTTGGGGTAAAGATAACCAGTGAATGGTTCCAAGTGCCTTGCTGATAAGTCTATTTTAAAGCGCGCTACAAAGCAGATCTGAAACTGGTTGCAGTTCTGAGGTAACAAATCAGCACAGGGTTTTTTTCTCCACAACTGAGTACGTGGATGAGTAATAATAATTAGGACTTATACAGTGCTATATATCTTTAAAGTGCCTTCCAAATCTTGGCTCTCAAGCCCTAACCTCTCACCACTCTTGCGAGGGAGATAGGTAATTAGTCCCATTTTTATCTATCTGTGCAGGATCTTCTATGGAACCCATTTTCATAGCATAAGTAACTCGGGCTTCTGGGCAACACAGTAAGTTAAAGAGTTTTCAGATATGTTTATTATAATAGTGCCCAGAGGCTCTAGTCGGGATTGGAGTCCTCCTGTGCTAGGAACTCTTTAAGGCCCTGTGCTGAAGAGTTTGCAATATGGCTGTCCCTTTTCCATTCTTATGAACATACATTGTAGCTAAGTATGCAACAATCTCATTTCGAACTTCATTTGTGCTCCATACTTGTGCAGGGCTCTGCTCTCAGAGGTTCCAACTGCAGGAACAGATTTTTGAGCTTGATCAAAAGCCTGCTGAAGTTAATCAGAAAACCTTCATTGGCTTAAATGAAATTCAGATCAGGCCCTTAGAAAGCAAGATTTACTTTTGAGTAGATTTTAGCATATCTATCTCACAAGAGATCCAATTCCGATACCAGTGGCACATCTCCCATTGATTTCACTATGAGCTGGATCAAACTGAAGAAACATTAAGTGTTGGCCTGACTGCCATGTCTCAGATATTCTACTTGGAAGTGAAGGGAAAGTGCCATTTCAGATGTGGATCTGACAGAAGGGTTTTGTCAATATATTCCGTAGGTCATTTTGAATGCACACCCCTCTCTCTTCTATACACAACTCTGCCTATCTTTTAGTTTATTGCGAATTGGCTATTTGAATTTTACTATCTCAAAAGGATAGGTGACAGTCAATGAAACAAGGAAAGTCTCAGTGTATTGTACAACAATTGAGAAAGTATCAGTAAACAATTGCTCTAGGTTATCACTTTCCACTGGACAAGTGAAGTTGGACAACGAACTATGTATGTCATAATAAGTTAATGTGTTAACCACTGTGAGCCACTAATTAACAGTGCACAACTGTAAGGAAGAGTGGAATTTCTTACAGAAGAATTTCTCACCTCCACCTAAAGTAAATAGAGAGAAGCTAGCACGTACAGATGGGGAGGAAGAAACAGAATCAGTATGGCTGTATTTATGTTGTCTAATCTTCTGCCTAACCTACACCACTTATGCAGATGGTGAGGATGCAGGCGTAGTCTTGGTGCATCCTTGTCTCTTAGAATGCTTTCAGATTTGGCAAACGAGCAGGTTTCTGTTCAAGGGTAGTAATATGTTTTTTAAATTTGTAAGGCACTTTTCGTGATAGAGCTCTGTCCTAGTTAGCATAAAAAACTTCACACCTAATATCATGGCGGTGAGAAGGTTTAGGTTCTCAAACTTTTGTTTGCTTCTCCATATATGTATTTCGGTAAACGTAATGTATCCGTCCAACATGACTTAGAAATGGCTCTTGACATACTTAGTAAAGTTGTTTGTGGCAGTGTTGTAGCCATGTTGGTCCCAGGATATTAGAGGGACAAGGTGGGTGAAAGCTTGTCTCTTCCACCAACGGATTTTGGTCCAATAAAAGATATTACCTTTTTAAAGGGAAAAGCTAGGGAGAACACTCTATATTTAAATAATATGCACTATAATTCTCAGGATGAATGTTGGTTATTTGTATTACAGTACTTTCTAGAGGGCCCAGTTGATCCAGGCATTGTTGGACTCGGTATTGAACAAGCATATATCAAAAGAAGTTGCCTGTCCCAAAGAGCTTATGATCTAAGTAGACAACTCAGATAATGGACAGGAGAAAGGAAGGAGTAATAGCTATTCCATTTCATGTATGGGGAAACTGAGGCACAGATATGAAGAGACTTTCCCAAGGCCACATTCAGTGTTCAGAGTTCCAGTTCAGTGTGTTAATCACAAGACCATACTACCGATAAAACTATTATTTTTCTTGCAAAAACTCAGAATAACATCTCTTTCAAGTTCTGTGTACTGTTGCCTTCATAGGAAGAAAAGCATGTTACAATTTTTGAATTGAGCAGGAATTTTCAGA